TATATATATATATATATATATATATGAATAATACATTAAAATCTGTCATAAAAATTTCTAAGAATTTCTCTAAAATTCTATAAGGATCTTTCTGGAAATTTGTTTTAAAAATCACTCTAATACACCAATTGATTATGTATAAATATACCAAATATCTTACAAGATATGTCAGATAATTTGATATCTTACAAGATAAGCCAAGTTATGCCAAATGATCTCATTACCCTCCCTCAAGTTGGAACATACAAATCGTGAATGGCCTACTTATGTAAAAAGGAAGTAAATTGAGTAGAACCAAGTGTTTGGTTTGTATATCAGCTAATTGTACGGTGAGAGAGACATAAGTAGGTCCAATATTGCCTTTTATAATCTCATCCCTAACAAAATGACAGTCAATTTTAATATGTTTGATACGTTTATGGAAAATTGTACTTTTGGAAATGTGGAGAGCAACTTGGCTATTACAATGAACAAGTGTAGGTTAAGAATGTGATATACTAAGGTTGAAAAGAATTTCCTTTAACTATTTCAGCTTACGAATAGTGGCTGTCATTGAACGATATTCAACCTTAATGGATAAGTGCAAGACTGTGAGTTACTTCTTTGTTTTCCAAGAAACAGGAGAGTTGCCCAAATGAATAAGTCATCCTATGGGAGATTTGCGAGTAAGGGAACAACTTCCCCAATCTAAATCATTACCATGTAGTCAAATGTAAATCAATTTCTGCTCAAGGGCATACCTTGCCTCAAATTCCTTTTTAAGTAGTGAACTACTCACAATGCAGTTTCTCAATGTTTTTTCTCTATGTTGCTGCATGAACTAAGACAATCTATGGACATAGTAAGACAATTTTGGTCCAATAAAACGATGGTAAATGAGGCCTCCCACCAAATAACCTACATTGATCATAATGAGTACTTAATGGTTTTGCTCCTAAAGTCTTGTTTCTCTATGATATCCAAAGCATACTTTCATTGATAGAGAAAATTTTCACTAGAGGAGTGAGTCACTTCAACACCTAAGAAATATTTGAGTTTTTCTAAATCTTTTATATGGAAGCAAGTATGAAAATAATCCTTAAAGAGGTTAATAACTGCATGATCATTTAAAAAATGATGAGGTCGCCTACATAAGCCAAAACTACAAGGAACAAGTATAGTCAAAAAATGATTGTTTGAAGCCATACTCCTTTAATGCAATAGAAAATTTTGCAAACCAACAGGAGCATGCTTAAGCCCATAAAGAGACCTTTTGAGTTAATAGACCATCCTAGAGTCATGAACAGTGAAGCTAGGTGGTGGCTTCATATACGCCACCTTTTCAAGTTCCTCATTCAAGAATGGATTATGAGCATCCATCTGATGTAATTCCCAGTCCTTGGCAACTATTATCACTAACATTGTATGCATAGTCAACATTTTGACAACATGAGAAGATGTCTCGGTGGAATCAATCCCTTCCACTTGATGATTGCCAAGAATAACTAATCACACTTTAAACCTTTATATGCTCCCATCAAATTTTATGCTTTTTTTTTGTAAAGTGGGTAAGTGTGTCAACATTGCCTAACATAGGTTTCCTCCATCTACTATCCTTTGTTGCTTCAACATAAGAAACTACTTTCTTTTCCTATGAAATAAAAGCAAGAAAAACACAATGTGCTAGAGATAAATTATTACAATTCACATAATGTGATATGAGATAAGGATCACCGGAGCTTACTATTGATGGGGATGAGTGGTTGGATGAGTTCATTTTCTTTAAGTAGTGTGAGTCACAAATTCTCGTATAAGAACATATGATTGTTTTCTTTGTGTCCTCTACCCAAAAGGTTCCTCTAGTGGCACAATGTGTTAGGGGATGCATTTGTTGCATTAGAGATTATCTGTTCAACAAGTTCATCATTTGGTGCACCCCCTCTATAATCCACGACAGTTATACTTTCCACAGAATCTTGTTGAAGCTCCTCACGAGCCACCTTTCTACAAATTCATCAACATTTTGGTCACCTTGTTCTTTAGTGCATTGTCACTAGTTAAAGAGTACACTAACTCGAATAATTTAACATCTCAAAGAGGCAAAGATCTCTCATTTTCCAAATTAAACAAATTCCACCCCTTTTTAGCATACAAATACCTAATAAAAACACATTTTCTACTCTGACTTGCAAATTTATTTCCTTTCTTTCCTTGATGATGTGAATAACACAATGGTCCAAACACGCTTAAATGTTCATACATGGAATTATGTATAGGCAACATCTCGTAAAGAGTCTTTCCATTCAACTCCATGGAGGGAGTTCGGTTTATTAGATAACCTACAGCCAAAATACATTCTCCCCAAAATTCAATGGAAAGATTTCCTTGAAACTGTGGCGCTCGTGCTACATTCAAAATATGCCTATGTTTCTTCTCTACTCTCCCATTTTGTTGGGGAGTTGCAATGCAATATGTTTGAAAAATCACTCCATGATCAAGAAAATATTTTCTCATGCATGTGAACTTAGTCCTATTATCACTTCAAAATATTTTTACTTGTTTATGAAATTGCCTCTCAACTAAGGCTATCTTTTTTAAGTGTTTATGACACCACTTTTTTATAAATCAACAAATATATCAAAACAACATGTGAGTAATCATCAATAATTGTCAAGAAATAGAAAGCACCATATGTTGAAAGGGTCTTATAGTCTCCCCATAAATCACAATGGATTAATTCAAATAGCTTTATGTTCACTCAACAAAAAATTACCCCTAGTTTGTTTTGCTCTAAAACAAATATCACATGCTTTATTTATTATCACACCATCTTTATGTATACTAGATCCAAGAATTAAGTGCGCATTATGCATCGATAGATGTACCATCCGTTTATGCCATAGATCCATCAAGCTCATTCCCTTAGTCTTAGAAACCATTGCTTTTCAAATCCCTTAGAAAAAATAGAGCCCATCCATGCATTCACCCACACCAATCATCATTCTTGAAGTGCAATCCTACATAACACACAATTTATTAGTGAATTGAACAACACAATCCAATTTGTCCATTATTTGAGAGGTTGATATCAAATTGCATTGCAATTTAAGAACATAGGGTACGTTAGTGAGTTTCACACCTCCATCCAATGTAACAACTTCTTTTGTTGTGCATTGTTCATCAAGGAGTCCCATTGAGCAACTTTGAATAATATGCAAATCATGCACAATGTTTAAGCACCATGTCATGTGGTTTAAAGCTCCAGTATCAATAATCCATGTAGTGGTATTGCACTTGTCTTTCTTCTTCTCATTGCAATATGTTTGTTGACCTTTCAACAAATCCATCAACATCTATAACTACTTAGTCATTAGTTCAGTCGACTCAAAATTATCTCCTCCTGAGTAAATCATCTCAAAGTATACTCCATCATTCTTAGAGCCTTAACCTATGCTCTGATACAAATAAAAGCTCTAATTTTGGAAAACAATAATCTTGTTTTATTGTTTTTTCTCCACAAATATTTGAATATATATACACACACATGAACAATACCTCAAAATCTATCATAAAAACCTCTAAGAATCTATCTAGAAATTTGTCATGAAAATATCTAAGGATCTCTCTAGAAATTTGTCCAAAAAATTGGTCTAATACACCATTTGATTATGTATGAATATACCAAATATCTTACAAGATATGTCAAATGATCTAAAAAAATCTTACAAGATTTGGTAGGATGTGCTAGATAATCTCATTAAATTTCATAGTATTTTTAATTTTTAATGTAATTCTTTAATCAAAATTTGAATTTTGTTTTGATAATTCACCTTATAAAATTTTCTAAAACTATCTCAAACTAATCTAATGAGTTTAAGTTGAACCAAATCAATCTAATGAGTTTGGTTTGCTTTTTTGAGGGTTCGTGTCATACTCAACTGACTCGATCAAAATCCAACACTATATGGGTTGAATAACAAGTTTTGTGTTTTTAACTTGTGATCCAACTTTATTCAGTCATATACAACAATAACAACAACAATGATAATAATCTACAAGTTAGTGTTAGTGATACTCAATACAAGTTCGCTTTAAGTTTTATTTTGTATTAATGTTGACTTTGTGAGTTTAAAGAATGTATCAAATCTACAAATTTATTTTAGAATTTAGTTTGTATCATTATTTTTTTATGAGTTGAAAATATTGCATTTATAGTAAGAAATCAAGTTATTCAGATCTATTAAGAAATATTTAAAATTTTACATAAAAAATAATTATGTTGACGTAACTCGTTTGTGATTGGGTTGGGTTGGATTTCACAATAAAAATGCACAAATTTGATCCAATCTGACTCATTGAATTTTGATTGATTTGGGTAACGAATCTATTTAAACCCGACCCAATCTGACCAACTTACATCCCTATAAGTAGTAATTTGTCTAAAGACTTTCAATTCAATGGTTTAACTAAATTTAGAATAGGTTAAATTGCACTTTTGGTCTTCTATAATATAAAATATGTAATTTTGATCCCACTATTTTTAATTTTGTAATTTTAGTCCCCTAATTTTATAAAATCTATAATATAGTTCTCTTATTAAATGTTCATTTGTTGATCATTAAAATTGCAACATGATCTAACATTAAATAGATATGATAACAATTAATATTTAATAATATTCAAGCTAAAATTCACTTTTAGTCCTTATTTTTATCTCACAAATGCAATAAAATGGGATGAAAATAGAACGAGAAAAACAAGTGTAATTTGACTTAAATACTATCAAACATTAATTCTTGTGTTATCCATCTAATTTTAGATATGATGAATGTTACAATTTTAATTATTAATGAATGAATATATAGTGAGGAGACTAAAATAGTGAATTTTATAGAATTAAGGACTAAAATTTTAAAATTAAAAAATAAAAGACTAATATTACGAATTTAATATTATTAATAGATCAAAAGTGTAGTTTTGTCTATATAATATTATCCGGCATCAAAATTCCATTTGAAAAAATGATTTTGCTAATTATTATTGTAATGACAACTTTTAAAGAATTAAGTGATTTTTTTATTAAAAATATAATATTTAATACTATCAATGCATCATTGTAATTAGTTTAAATAAAAAGTTTATTAATTCATTAACCATTTTTTAACAACACCGTTTAAAAATAATAAAGATAAATTAAAATACAAACATTATGTGAATTAAAATCAAATTTCTTATCAGGATCGAGTACATATTTAAATCATATTTACATAAATGTTGCAAACTTGTTTTAGTTTTAGGGCGTGTTTGATTTTATACTGAATTCTCTATAATGTTAAAACATCACTTAACCAAATTTTAGATAAATTGTCATATATTTGATTTTTCATCGAACAATTGATTCTAAATTCAAAATGGATTTTGAGTTGAAACAGCTTTAAATATAAAAATATTTATACTGAATTTTATTAATAACTTAGATTTAATATATATATAAAAAAAAACATTGGAATCTAAATCACATTACTTCAAAATCAATTTTAATCGAAATTAATTTTACCAACAAACACTCATTCAATTTAACTGCTTCAAGAACAGGGGAAGTTGATGAACTGCGGGGGAGGTGGTAGCTGTGGAACTTGTATCGTAGAGGTACAAAATTTTATTGTTGTCATGTTAACATGTTCTTACGCATGCTTTCATTATTCATTATTATATTTTTATACAATATATTTTCTTTTCTCTGGTGACATGGCAAGTCAATTGTTTGATAATATCTTCTCAGATTTAAATGGGAATGAGAATAAGTCAAATTTTAAATAAGAATTTATAATCTAATTTATTAAAGTTTGACTTGATATGATTTATTTGATAAAAGGATCGCATATGTTTTTTTTTTTAATGTCTATTTATTTAAAAAGATTGGATTTAAACTTATAAAAATCTATTAAACTTAATAGGTCAACTAATTTATCTATAATATAAAAAAATACATATATGTATGACATTATTAATAATATAAATAAATTTGTAATACAAAAAATCAAATTATGTTTTACGTTTTCACTACATCTAAACATTTTACTTTCTTTATTCTTATGAAATTAAGATATCGAAAATAAAAATTCTTGTAATCATATTTTTACCTTCTTTTTGTCCCTTCATCTTCGTATTTGATTATTTAGAATACTTCAAATGTGATTTAAGAAATATTTAGAAAACATGGTGATGGCATCCTTACTTGCATGAACATGAGATGAGCAAAGAAAGAGGACGCCTACTCCAAGGATCAAGTTTTTGTCTCTCTCTCTCCTATTGTATTTCTTGAGTGTTGTGAGGCAATTGTAGTGCAAAAGGTTGCCACAAAGCACCTAAAATCTCCCTATTTTGAAGATCCAATAGAGCTCATTCAAGAGGTATTTCAGTTAATTTCTTTCTCTCTTTTATTATTTCTTATCTATAATTATTATTGTTATGATAAAAATAATCATGTAGACATTTTATGGTTAATTGTATAATTTAAATTTCAAGCATGTAAATAATTATTAATAAAAGGGGATTTAATATTTTTATTATTATCATTTATAATGCTAACTTCATCATAGGGTACCAATTAAGGGCACTGTAGGGGTGCTTAATACCTTCCCTACATGTAACCGATCCTCGAACCCAATTCTGGTTATCAAGGCCATTATTGGATTTTTAAAAACCTTTTCTTTTTCCAATGTTTTGAGTAAAACATTGGTGGCGACTCCATGAA